GAATAGAGATAGAATGAAGCAGAATGATGAAATGATGTGTCCTGTTTGTAGAACATGTGTGTGATGGAGAATGACTTTGAGAACCAGCTCGGAGAATTCCACATCAGGATGAAAGGTAAGATCCCGTCACACATTTCATTGCTCTGAAACCTGGGTCACTGACACAGATCTAGAACCTTCCTTCCCAGATGGTCAGATTGCCTTCAGCGTCTCTCTTCTGATTTTTCAGGTCTTGCAGGATTTGCCAGACTGTGTGCAGGAGATCAGTATGAGGTTAGTGCCCCCCCCGTCATAGATCAATGCCCTCCTCTAAAGCCGGGCATACACTGTGGCATATTTTTCAATCGTTGCACGCAGTTACAGCTCACACTGTACGAAGAAACTGCAGGGTTTAAAAGTTCACAGCTCACAAAGTATATTCTGACACTGTGCAACCCGACGCTCTCATGCGATGTGGGACTCAGCTCCGCAGTGAGATGGCGCTACTCTGACTCGTCTGTCCAGATGCCAAACTAGTAGAAGAGGAATATGAAGCTCACTAGAGTGAAACGCGCTGCCTTGGCTATTGGGGCAGTTTTTTGCTGAAAGTCCTAAAAAGAAAAGGCAACGACATATTTGGACAAAGACATGGCACAGCAAACGTGGCTACTACGGTCTGTCAATTTTACAGAAAGAACATTTCACTCATTGCACCCCCGCCATGCTGCTGGGTTTTCGTCTGAGAAGAACACGAAGAAGAATCCTTGTTTGCACACTGAGGGATTTGCCCACAACCACCTTAAGACGGCCGAATGAATTTCCAACCTTACGATTCTTGATCAGAGGTGGTCGTTAGAGGCTGATCACCCCTCGTTACCCCCTGTACACTACACCACGTACCATCAGGATGAAAGGACCAAAAAGGGCTGAAAAATCGTACAGCTTATGCCCGGCTTAAGGGTGACATGGAATCGGCCTGTGCTGACCATACCCAGGGATTTAACAGCACTTTCTTTTAGATCTGTGTTAGTTTATTCTAAATCTGATCTAAAATCTGATTCTAAATTTCAGGTCTTTGTTTATTTCTAACTGGTAAATTTCAGGGGGAATAACAAGAAGTGTTAGAATACTTCAGAATTCTTGGCTTCATCTTCCCTGAGAAGATGAAACCAAGATTTATGAACTGGCTACGGAAACTTCTGGTTGTCGGAGGTCTGGCTAGTGTTATTCCTGCTGAGTCATAACGAGTGGCTTCCCTGAATTCACAAACACTTTACTATAGTTTTGCTTTGGGGGCGGAACAGGTGACAAATGTTTATGATTTCTTATATATCTCTTTCCTAGTGGGGGAAAAAGCAGTTTAAGTCCGGGAATAATGGGCTTTTAGTGGCAGTGGGAACAGCTCACTGACCCATGTCTACACGGGTCAAACGACTCGCCAAGTAACCCGCGTTATAAGATCGGCATGCTGTGGAAACACGTGTGCCGGGTTGACCCGCTAAATTACGTGATACCATTGAACGCAACGTATGGACGTCAACTCTGATTCCATTCGACAAACATGGAGCAGCTCTGATGAGACGGATTCAGTTAGATAATAGAGAGAAACAATAAAGCACACTGACTAAGCCCTGGTTTCCTCCATGTTGCTCTCTGTTGTTTACTTACCTGATTTCGGTCACACTGATGACGTCAAAGCTAAACCAGCGTGATGATGTCAGCAGACACGCAGCGGTGGAGGAGCAGAGCCCACACAGCTGCTAGCGAGGGGTCAGACCAGCTTTTTTGCCAGTGGGAAAGGAGCCAAATACTGATTGTTAGTGGATCGACCCATGTTTGAAAACATGTGTTAATCCACTATTTTCAGTAGGAAAGACGCTTTATAGAAAAATTTTTGCCCTGAGTTGTGACATTTACTCAGAAGGTTAGCTTATAGCTTAAAATGAAGACAGAGAAAACTGGAAATGATAAAATTTAAAGACGTACATATAGCATAGAGAGAAAGGGATGACCCTATGTCCTCCTGCAACCTAAGCCAACAGCAGCACAACTACTAAGGTAACTCAGAGTGACCCGGATAAAGCCTCACAAAACAGGAAGGATTTAAGCTTTGTCTAAATATTCTCAGGATGTCTGGCTAAGATATGTAAATCAAAAAGTGTTTCTGTGTCTATATTTAGATTTTTATGAAATATGGCCGACAGCGCTGGAAACTGCGAGGAAGGATAGAAATCAATGCCAAACAAGTGTGGGACAACGAGGAGATGGTGTTCGTCCCCCTCATTAACGAGTTCCTCTCTGTGAAGGTCGGTGGCATTAGATGGATGTTTATAGCAGCTCTGCTAAAGACGGATCCAGGTTGACGGTACTTTCATTTAAATGTGAATGATGGACAGACATGAAATCCGTCCTCCTTTGTTTTCCAGGTGACTGAACTGAAGAGCTTAGCCAATCACGTGGTTGTAGGGAATGTTTCCTGTGAGATGAAGGACCTGTTTGCTCCACTCACCCAGGTGGTAGCTGTGGACATTAATGATCTCGGCACTCTTAAACTTAGCCTTGAAGTCACATGGAAGTAAGTTCTGTTTATAGGCCAAAAAAACCAACCTTATGTCTTATAGTGTAGGTGATTAATTCCACATAAATGTGATCATTGTCTTGATTTGATGTGTTTTTTCTGTCTTTCTGCATCTTTCTGTTTTTCCTCAGTCCCTTTGATAAAGACGATATTGTTGTAAACAAAACACCAAGTATTGCGTCGCACATGGGCAGAACACCAGGGACGCCGTCCAAACGCATTCAACCCTTTCCTGTAAGTTCTAAGTGTGTGGAAAAAATCTTTCATTCCTTTAGAGACAGCATGAAAAGTCAGCTGAGTACAAAACATAGAGAGGAAAACATGAAGAAAAGGGACAAGAAGAGAGGGACAAACCTAGAACAGATAATGGATGTCTATTCTATTAACATTTCTCTATCTGGATAATGGGTCTGTTTTATTTCTTCTCAATTCAGAGGCCCCCTGCCTGTCGTTGCCTAGGGCCCCACATTTTCTAAACCCACCCCTGTCCCCCTCTATACCTTTAATACCAAGTTACCTCTAAAAAAAGAGGTTCATACTTGGCAGAGAAAACTACATTTTTGATTTTGCTTCTTGAGGACTCTTTCACATTTATATGAAAAGTAAATCCTGTTTGGTTTGGTCTGGTACAGTAGCTGCTGTTGGAAGCATAACTTAAAGTAAAGCTTGATTTAATCACCAGATATTTTCATAACAGCAGGTAGTGCTGAGTTTGATAGGAGGGAAAATAACATCTCTAAACTCTCTTTTTAAATAATATCTATTAAATTTACCACTAAGGGCTTGATCTTCAGGGATTCCTAAAAAGAAGCGCTAAATTGCATGTTTAATTTGTCTGAAGTGCGTGCAAAATGTTGGTGTGTTGTGCAAACATTATGCCGCAAATGCTTATATTAAATTCAAAAACACTTTAGTAATCACAAGGGGAAATAAAAGGTGTGCAAACTGTTTTGTTCTGCCCATTGAAATGAACAGATTGGGTGTTCTACAGACAGTTTGATAATGGCCGTTAAAGACATACGAGGTCCGAAGCCATGCTGTTAATGTGGCTTCACTTTGGCCACATTTCAGTTTCAGATTTTGGAAAATCCCTTTGAATGTGTTAAATCTTTTCATTTTCATATCCTCTGCACATGAAATTGATGCATGTTGATGAGGATACACGTCTGCTGAATTGCAAACACAAATAACTAAGATCTGCTCTGCAAGTACAAACGTGTTTGAGGCTATTTTACTGTATGTGTGCAAACTTACTGCAGATCAGGCCCTAAGAGATAAATATAGCTGCAGAGACAATAATGATCTGTTCTGATGTCCTGAACTACACCACCTGTTTTTTTTAACAAATACTGCTTATCCAGCTTCCTCCACTTTCCACTCCTCTCTTAAGGCCTGAACACACCGGTTGGTATGACTTTTTAAACTCATGCCCATTAACTTTCAATCAACGCTAAATGCCACGACCTCTGAGGGAGGATTTTCTGTCGGATCAAGCGCAGAATCAGATTAGGTGTGTTCTGGCGTTTTTGGGAGATTTCCTCCCAAAATCAACCTTTTCTGCAAATAAACTGTTTAACCAGGAATAGGAGGTTTTATTTTAAATTTTTTTTTATATGTAAACTTGTATTATTCTGTGAATTGTTTATATTTTTTTTAAAACTATAAAGAAAACTGTAATTTATAAGGATGTAATCAGCCATTTATTTAGTGTTAATAAGAATCAGGAAAGCTGCAGGATGAGGCTCTATGTCCGGTCAGCAAAGAATAATCAGTGGATCATTATTTATATCTAAAACTAATACATTTGCGATGAGTTCATAAATTTAGCATTAATCAGTAAAAAATGTTTAAAAAAAAATTTTTGTTACGATTACTTGAGTCTAGGAGCGGCCATTTTTGCTCAAATATAGTAACCCCTCCCTCCTGCCATCTTCCAGCAGTGACGTCACGGTGCGGTAAGCCTAGCGCCATTCTCCCCGCTTTACAAGCAAAATCAATGGGAACTACTAGACACATCTGCAATCAACAACAATTATTGAAGATTTCCCGAGGACTTCACCATTGAAATTTACCAGAGCTATAGTGAAACTGACAATGCCCACGTGCATGGCAGCTGGATGTTGGAATACATCGGATAAAAGTGAAAAAAAAAAAAAAGAGTTATTTCACCTTTCTGATTCCTGATCCTCCACAGACGAGTTGGTCGTTGGATTGCCAACTTGAAGAGGAAGGATTTACCATCGAACTTCTGGCCAGAGAAAAAACACGTAATATGTAGCCAACATTTGGAAGAAGAATGTTTTCAAGATGACTTG